TATTAATTTTTTAATTTACCAAACCAAAACTTATATAAACATCTATAACCCCAAACTATAAATATTAAACAAATAACACTTCTTAACTTATATTATATTAATTTTCTTTTAATTTACTAAACCGGAATCAATATTTGTGAACGATAATCATAACAATAAACAAACTAAAACAGATGATCTCACTACTTGAGCCAAAGATAGCAAATTTTAAATATGCTCATCATGATTCATCGTTTACCAGTAAAATAAATTGTTTAAATGAAATCATACATTGGATGGCTCCTGAAAAATTAAAGAAAACTCCTAAAAATCCTGTACGATATATATTCAAATGCAAAATATTTAGGTAAATACTCCTTCGATTCACTGAAGATATTAATTATATTTTTTTAATTTATTTTCTTTAATTAGTTTCGAAATAATGCTTTGGGAACTTGCATTTGAAAAAATTCCATATGCTAATATGGAAATAAATAAAATTAAGGAGTATATTTTAAAGGGTAATCAAGAAAAAATTTCTTGGGGAGTTAGCTCACCAGATATTCAAAAAATCCAACGAAAATTTGCAAAAATAATGATTTCAGGTAACTTTTTTTCTGCATTTGATTAATTCTAATCTTTATTCTTTTTGGTTTGCTAAAGTTTTTTTTACTATAAAGCCTGGCAACAAGATATAAATATTAGAGCTTCTCTTCAAGATATTTTTTTAAACTGAATAAGCTATCTGTGGCCTTTGCTAAACCAGGTTCTTTCTCATCACTGCTCCCTGATAGAACAATAGATTTTGATAGATCTAAATGTCAATCACAACCTATAGAACTTCCTGAAATAACTATGAACTTTAATCTTCCAAAAATAATACCTTTTGAAGAAGGTATTAAAGCTTATAAGAAAAAAGATCATAAAACAGCTTGGGAATGTTTTCAGACGTATTCTGAGTTGGGAAATGCAACTGCCAAATATTGAATAGGATATTATTTGTCTGAAGGATATCCTTCATGAAAAGTTTATAGCAAAAGGAGAGAATCGGATACTAACGGTAATTGTGTTAAAGAAATTAAATTTTGAATGCCCTAACATATACTGCACAGATCCTTGCACTGCCGAAGCAGTCGTGGAGCCTAACCTGAAGGTCCTTGGACTGCCGAAGCAGCTGTAGAGCTTAATCTGAAGGTCCTTGCATTGTTAAAATAGCCATGAAGCCTAACCAAGAGGTTTTTGCACTATCTGACCAGCCACGAGCCTCTCTTTACCAAAAACAGGGCTTACTAATCAAGAATTTAAATGATTACTATAAAAGAACAGGCAAAATACTAGAGAGAGAATGGGAGGGGAATAGAGCCAGCTTTAACACAAGGCGAGCGATAGTAAAAAGAAAGATAAATCTACCAACAAGCCTTTAAACCTTTAAATAACCATTTGCCAGCTGAAGACTTCTTATGCCTACATAGAAACCCATACTCCTTACTCTGGTCAACAATCACTTACCACAAAGAAACTAATAATTATAATACTATTCCCTAATGATCATATGCAATCAGACTACTATATCACTAAAACCTGCATGAAACTAGCGAACTATCAAATAATTACAAATAATCTATAAAAGGCTAAATAACAAATATGCACGTGTTCTGAGTTCTCTGATCTCGCAATAATATAAGTAGCTAAGAAGTTTTTACTAAAAAAGAACAGTAGCTTATTTTTGAAGTAGCTTATTTTCAAGTTTATATATAAATTTGTTTAGCACCAATTTATAAATTTATTATTTAATAAAAACTTTAAATTATTTTAAATTTATATATTTACTAACCAGGCCAAATTCAAAATTTAGATTAATTAAAGCAGGCTAGACCAGACTAGCAAAAAATTTTTAACTCTAATTGTGAGCCAAACCTAACTAAAAAATTTAAAATTTGCAGATTTTTACCTTATGCTAAAAAAGTAACTGATAATGTAGTAAGAGAAGAAAAGATTAATTATATATATTTTTAGCCAAAAGGTTCTACTAATTCTGAAAAAGAATTATATATTTTTGTTTATATAACAAAGCTTTTTTTAATGGATTTTTCTATTCATCTCTGGCCCTAATTCTGCCAAATTTGTATTCTAATTCTGCCCAAATTTATATTTGAATTCTGCCCAAATTAAACTATAAATTTATATTCAAATTTTGCCTAAATTAAACCCAATTCTACCTCTAATTTTACATTCGAATTCTGCTCAAATTAAACTCTAATTCTGTTAGAATTATAAATTTTGGCTGAATTAGCATTCAATTTGGGCAGAATTCAAATGTAAAATTAGAGGCAATATTTGGTTTAGACGAAATTCGAATATAAATTCGAGCAAAATTATAGTTTAATTTGGGCAGAATTCAAATATAAATTTGGAAAAAATTAGAATATAAATTTGGCAAATTAGAGTATAAATTTGGGTAAAATTAGAATATAAAATTAGAATATAAATTTAGCAAAATTAGAGTATAAATTTAGATAAAATTAGAATATAATTTTGGCAAATTAGAGTATAAATATTAGGGTTTAATTTGGCAAAATTCAAACATAAATTTAGAGTATAAATTTTAGCAGAATTAAGGTTTAATTTGGACAGATAATAGTAAGTTAAGAGAAAGTAAATCTTTAGATAGATATAGTAGATAAAAGATTTGTTTTGGTTGAGTAGAAAAGAGCTTTAATAGTTTCAGAATTTGGTATTTTCTATTGAGAAAAGAAGAGATTGGTAGAAACTTTAGAAATTTAAAGTTTTTTTGGAGATGTATTGTATTGCTTGTAGAAGATAGTTTTGGTGATATTTGTGTTTAATTTAAGAAATTGATGAATTTGAGAATTGTATAATATTAAAGTAGGATATAATATTGGTGAATATATGTAGGTTAGTTGTTTTAAATAAAGTGTTTTGAAAAGCATTTTTAAGATTAGAGTTAATGTTGTTATTTTTAGCAGCAGCTATTAGATAGTGTTTTAAATAAGTATAGTAAAAAAAGATTCATATTTAAAATTTGTAGAAGTTGTATAAATTGTTGTTTTGCTGAGTTAGCTAATTTTTTAAGAGACTTGAATGAAAATGGTTTTGTAAAAGTAGTAGTTAGAGGTTTGTTTGGTTGAAAAATAGCAAAATTTAAATAAGGATAAATATGAGCTTTGAATGAATTATAGAAGTAAAACGAAGTTAAGTTTTTAAAAATATAGAGAATATTA